ATAGCTTCCGTTATTGGATGCTCAACCTGAAACGGCATAGTGCAATGAACGAGCGAGTTAAGAGGAATAAATGTCAGGGCGAAAGTCTAGGTTTTCTGAAAAAACACCACGACGAATAGACGTCAAAATAGAAGATTAGTAATCTCTTCGAAAGAACATTATAAGTAGCAAAAGCGTACTATTCTCCAAGTGGCTCATACCGGGAGGTTCCAATTAATTAGCAGGGACTAATTATTTGGATAAAAAAATGTCAGCAGATAAATCCGACATACCTGTAATCGAGTATTCATTTCCAGAAAATAGAAGTTCTTTTTCGAGTCCACTAGGAATTCCACAGTACCAGCCGAGTCGTAACCCACTGCCAGAGCCAGTTGCACTGCTGAAAACGCAAGAGTCGCACTAATTTTCTGGTTGAATAATGAATTTTTTGGATGAATGCTTTGTTTTCCAAATTAAGCAATGCATGTGAATGAAAAACCTGATTTTATGCAAAACAAAAAAATTTGCGTGCCTGACAAAGTATATATTGTTTGAAAAGTGCAAGAAATTTCATTTACTGCTCGGTTCTTACCAGTAACCAGTCAATGTCATCAAAAGCTCGAGGCGAAGGGGTTCTCGATAGCGGGTCAACAAGTAGCACAGGATTCTCGGAATTTGATGCTGAATATGCCTGCTCTGATCATGCGGTTCATTTTGCACATTTTTTCAGAGCAGGTTCATAGGATTATGTGTCTAAGGCGAATAAGCCGAGAAATTCGAGAATCAAAATGCTTGTGTTCACTTCATTATGCAGGGAAAACACAGTTTTCAGAATTTTGCTGAAAAATTTTTAGGAAAAATTAGTTGCTTTCTTGCAGATGGTGCGTCAAGTTGTGCAAGCCGCAGTGCGCAATTATTTCGCGTCGTCGTGCACCGCTCTGGCTCGCTTGACTCTGTGCCTTGATTTCACAGAAGGTGCGCCGGTGCCGAACAACAAAACACCATTCGTCCGGTATCAGGCGCCATTGGTGCAGATCAGCGTCGAAAGAAAATCCGGCCCCGGCAGCACGACGACGGCGCAAAGCACCACACTACGCGCTGCAGCAAAAAGTTCGGAGAAAGGTTCGGGAAGTTGCTCCACAGCCAATACTGGGTGATAATCCTAACTGATAAGGATGTTACTTTACAAGCCATACTTGTGTAAAGCTTCATCATTAACAACTCCTCTTCGTTCGGTAACAGACACTTATTTGTGGACGCTGCGACTTAGCTAATTTTAATTGCCTTTTACTATTCTAACTGCGAAAAACTGATGCAAAACTAGAAAAAGAAAATTGTAC